ACTATGACATACTCAATATTAGTCAAGACTTTACAATCAAAGAAATCAAGACTAACCTTAGGAAGCTGTGAGCCTGTGCTTTTTTCTTATAATGATTGTCTCTTTTAGCAATTCCAAACGTCTAAAAAAAAAAAAAACAAACATTACAACATTGTAGCCAACTTGAATACCATCCTGATAAGAACCAAAGACAAGACGCACAAGATACTTTTATTTTATTACGCGTTGCCTATGATACTCTAACAGATCCAGTTAAACGATTCGCATATGACAGGTTTAGTTCATTATGTTAATATTACTGTCTTTTACTTGTCCGTTAATGTTTCTTTTTAAATAACGAATGGATAACTATATAGATTTGGCGCCGAAATTAATAATTGTAACAATTGCATCACATTGCGTGATTATCTTGTTAACGGTTGGACTTCCTTTTTTGGCTTTTATATAGGTGCAGGCCTTGTTCTATTCATCTTAAACGTATTAGGTAAAGGTCAATTCGGTCGGTTTTGGAGATTTGTCGTATTTTTTGCCATAGCCTGCCTTGAAGCATCGATGATTTTACATCCAAATCCACCTTTTATTACATCTTTATTTTTATCGAGATGGGTCATCTTTGAACAAATTATTATTTTACGTCAACTTTTTATTACCACATTTATCGCTCTTTCTCAAATTGGTCCGGTATTATTTCCTTCTGATGAGATAATAATTAGTCCTTCACTTGTGGGTCTTGAAACCCTTAGCAAAGTTGCGGCTACAGAATCTAGAAATATGCTTCGAACAAGCTTTCAGCCTTTCCAGGAAAACATTACTGCACAAAAAGAATTAGAGAAAAAGATGGAGAATTTAGTAGTAGATGCTTTTTTATATCAAAATGATCCAGAATTAACTCAGACGTATGGCCAAGTTTTTCAACGGGCGGTGAATCGTAGGAAAAACCAGTGAAATATGTATGTGCTTTTTCTATTCTTTGTATTTATTTAGTTCTAGTTCACCAAACTTTTATAAAAAAAGTTCATGAACACTTATAGGCGTAAAATGATGATTGGGGTTAACAAACTACAAATTACGCATAAATATATCATATTTGGTAAGGGAAAATAAACCCTTCTTGCGTACTCTTTAAAATCGTTACAACATGATTTTAAAATTTTGATTACATTCATATTATTGTATAGTCAAAATAATTTCCTCTACCATACAATGCTATAATTTTATTCTAAACCTAACTTGCAATTCAGACTGTCAACTTTCATAATAAAAGCAATACTTAAGTTATTTGCTGTTAACATTCGTGAGACATTTTTCCTTACATAGTGCCATCGTCATCTAAGTACGGCATCTTTTTATTGAACCAATTAAATTTTAGTTTTATGTAGTTCGCGGATCTTGAAGTCAGAGCACTTAGAATTTGCTTTATTAATTTTATGATTGTTTATTGTGGTTAGTTAACCCAGATGACAAGTTCTAAGATTTTACAGTTAAGATTATCTGGGGCTTTTGCTAACAAAATGACCCTCCGAGCTATTGTTACACAAGATTTTAATTAGTAAAATCATAACAAATCTATTTTTAGTAAAAAAAAATCATAGCAAAGGCCCCATCTAAATGCATATGAGATATCTATGCATTTAGAAAATTAAGATTTTACAATTAAGATTATCTAAATGCATATGAAGATATGTATTTACGTATGCATTTAGACAGTATACGTATGCAATTAAATATACTATATCGATATCGTGCTGTTTCGAGATATATAATTTAAAGAGACTAAAAATTAATTTAGCTAAAGGTTTATAATTTTAAAATATAGTAATTGTGATATTAAATATTATTAATATAATAAACTTATATTTATACAGTATTTATTTTACTGTATTAAATATTAATAATGTTAACTTTTAGTTTTACAAATAGTTTTAATATAATTAGGCATAGATAATAAAATTAGATATATTTTTTTTGTATAGTACAAGTTAATTCTTGTTTAAACTAAGTAATAGGTTTTTTTTTAGATTTAATAATCTAAATACTGCGGTTTTACAAATATTTATATGATTGAATTCAAGTTTAAACTAATAAAATTTAATTTAAAACTAAAATAAATATAACTTTAACTATTATTCTGTAAAATTTATATTTTATAACAAAAAGTTAAATATTATTAAAAAATCAAATTTGCAATATATTATTACAAGGTTGTAGTTTTTTAATTATTGCAAATATATATAAAGTGAAGGTATTAGCAGGCAAATAGTTTAAGATAGTAACAATATATAGAATAGTAATATGTCTTGTCTATAGAAATTACTTTAGAAGAAGAATATCATACTTTACAAGATATAAAAGATTAAAAGTTATCAGAGTCTAATATAAAATATAAAAACTTAAGAATTGGTAAGAAGAAAAAAAGATACTTTTTATATATTTTTTTACTCACAAAAAAAATACATTGTACTATATACAGTAATTATAACAGATTAAAATGAAATCTGATTAAAACAAAATTTTTTTAATTTTTAAGAAAATTTAAAATTTTTTAGATAATATTTTTTTTAGTATTAGAAGTTGGATTTAGGGTTAGGATTATTAATAAAAGAGTATATGTGAGTTTTATAAGCTTTAAAAGTGAGCAAGAGAGGTTCTCAATTTTATTTTTATTTTAATTTTTTTTTTTTTTTTTTAGATATTAAAGTGATTACTTTGGCTTTGGAGTCTAGCATGGTTTATTAACTTCTCAGTTCAATTATCAGAATACTGAATAGACACTCCTTAACTTTGTTACATCAATGAGAGTACAATTAGTTATATATACAACTTTAGTTATTGTCTAATTAAGGACTTTACTATATCTATTTCTATCTATAGTTACTTACTAATTGTTATATCTAGAATCTGCTTGTAGATCTTCTATTTAAACTCTCTGATCGATTTAGCATCATCAGATGCTTTCTCTAGAAGAATTCTTGTCACTAAAATCTCTTAGAATTACGTTATCTTTGTGGTAAACCTATCAGAGTAGTTCATGTTCTACACATATATCACCTGGTTTTTTGATAACATACGCCTCAATCCGAAGACTAAAACTTGCGGTCTTTATTACTACTACCATTATCTACTTTTTGTTCTTTACAAGGTTCATTCTAATCCCGATATCTACTTTCAACTAGCTCTTATACTGATTCCTTCTCAACTACCAAACCAGTTAGCCCGAAAGGGTTGTTGTACCTAGGCTCTAAGTGCCTTCTGGTTTTACTTCTCTTGATGCTGAATTCTATAGCATCGGACCTTTTCTCTAATACAATTCCAGTAGCCAGGTTGGTAGATCCTTCTTGCCCCAGGGTTGTTCATCTGGTTTTTTAGTCTCTGGTTCTGATTTTTCATAATATTGTCAAAGATCTTCACTACTCCTAGCTTAGATCTTGCCAAACGGGTTTCAAATATTCTAGTTTTTTAGATTTGAATTGCTTTAACGCTTCTATTTCAAGATAGTAGTACCAAGGTATATATTCCACCAAAATAGGTTTTCAAAAAAAACCTATTTCATCTCCATTAAAGCAATTTGGAATTTTTTATATGCAAGAACAAATCTAATTTAGGTAGTTATATTCTTTATAATATTGTCTCTTCAAAAAAAGTGTCAAAAAATTTCATCTTTTAAGTAAAATAGATCAAAACAATTTCATCTTCAAATTTTAATTTTGTATCCTGAAACCCAAAATAATTTTGTCAGCATATACTGTATATGTCCAAAAATAAGCTACTATTTTTGGGCAAAAATTTACACAAAAATTTTATGGGTAGCTTATTTTCAGATAAAAGTGCTTTTTGCCAATTGCAAAAAATTTTACTAAGTAAATCGATCATATGTATTAAGTGAAAGTTGTTCAGGAGATAAAATTACACATATTTTGAAAATTTCATAAAAATTGGATAACTTTTTATTAATTGATTTTTGATTTTTACGTTCAACAAATATGAATTTTAAAGAAACATTAAAGAAATTTTAAAAAATTCGTCGAACGTAACATGCAAAAATGTATTAATAAAAAGTTATCCAATTTGGATGAAACTTTCAAAAAATATATATTTGATCTCCTAAACAACTTTCACTTAATAAGCTATATCGATTTACTTAGTAAAATTTTGACTTTACTATAGAGTAACTACTGATAATCATATAGTAGCTTATTTTTGGGTATAAGACGTCTTTACGTTTTTTTCCAAAAAAGGAAGGTAGCTTATTTTTGGAGGTGGCTTATTTTTGGCAATATATGGTATATACCAAAGTTACAGATGATATACCCAACTGATCATCAAATAAATGTTATCATAACACAGGCCTATTTTTTGAAAAATGTCTCTGATGAAAATCAAATTCTAGACCTGCTACTTGGGGGTGACAACTTAACTACTACTCTACATCACCACACCCTGATTTCATTTTAATCTGTAACAGTAATTAAATAATACTTGGTAGAGAAATTAATGAATTGTATTAAAAGAAGTTAAAAGATTATATTAAAGAAAATTAGAAGAATATAAATATTACTTGTTTTGTTTATATTCTATTTATTATTTGTAAAGGTAAACTTGAAAAAAAAAACTTAAAAATATTGTAATATAGTATCTTGTGTTTGAAACACTTAAGTTTGTATAGAAGAACTTGAAAATTCATATAAAGAAACTTGAAAAAATTTGTATTATTTTCTTGTATTACTCTTTTGTATAATCTAAAGTATTTTTTTGTATAATCTTGTATTATCTTAGATCACATAGATCATATAACTATGCTATACTTTTTTTTAGCTAATCAGATTATTTCTATATAATGATTATAAAATATTATATAATTATATAATATAATAATATATTAAATACAGTATAACTAATAATAAACTAATCACAACAACTCTTTCACTAATTATCAAAATATAAATTTACAAAAATAAAAATTAATAAAAAACTACAAAAAATACACAAAAACCACTAAGAAACCAAACTTAGAGCTCTAAGAAAAAGAAAGAGGACTGCAAAAAATATTTAGTTTTTTAAGAAACTTAAATAAGAATAGCAGAAATGATAAAAAAATAAAAAAAATATATAAAATTATCAATATTTTTCTTGCACTTTGTGAATTTTAGAAAATTAGCTTTAATCTTATAATACAGATCTATTTTA